ATGTTGTTTGTATACTAAGCTTCACATAACTAACACCCGATGTCTTCTACAAAGGACACACAATAAAACAAAAATAAAAATATATGTTTTTAGCTTTTGTTAGTCATGTTTATATCACCCCAAAGACTTGTGTGATCATAACAAAAAAAGGAAATTTGAAACCTTTTTCTTTCTGGGTCTCAGGAGGAAATGTATGTTTCTTCTGCTTTTTGAACAGATTGCTTTGGATAAAACTACAGAAAATCTGCAGCAGGCCCACCACGAGACACAGCAGCTCATCCACCAGTGGGAAAACACCATCAAGCAGATGAAGCAACGAGATGCTGAGATGCAGCAATGTGCTCTGGTAAAATCTGGACCATATGCTTCTGCTGATAAACGATATGCTGAATGAATGCGTATAAACCCTTAAACAAAAGAAGACAACTTATTTTGAACAAGTGTATACTCCTGTGTTGTTCCTTCATCCGTGCAGCAAGTAGCCCAGTCCAACCAGAACATCAGGGAGAGGAATGCCACCGTAATAGAGAAGAAGCAATTGTTGGACACTCAGAGAAACAACAACAAGGAAAGTGAGAGGAAGATAACAACGTCCAAAAGTCAGGCTGTGAGGTTGCGGCAGGATCTGAGGGAGCAGGAGAATAACTGCACCAGGCTGAAGGATGAGGTCAGTCTTTGAGCATCCAACATTTTGCCACTGTTAACAGATATTTTCAATTGTGGGTCGTGCTATAAAAGAAGGTTCAAATGTCGTTATTATTAAATTGATTCTCTCTGGTTTTGCAGCTGGATACTTGCAAAGGCACACTGGACAGAGCAACCTCCGATGTGGAGTCTGTAAACTCAAACATATCCGGAATAAAGAAAGACATCCAGGATAACAATGACAAGTCAGTGAAATCCTACAATACTCTATTGTCAGTAAACCACGTTCTCACCAACTCATCAGCTTTTCAGTGGCATTAGCTCCACAATGTGGCATTCAAGGTACCGCTCTTACGTACATTTTGGATGAGTCAAGAGCGACATGTCCCTTTCAGCTCATACATTAAGTGTTTCAAATAAAACTAGTTTTCCCGTCGTTACATGAAGAGTCTTGTTAGAAAAAACCATCTCACCTGGTTGATCTAGGTTTAGTATTTGGGATGGGTGAACACGTCAGGGTTAGTTAGTAGCCCGTTTCCAAAGTATTGTTCCTTTCATACAGACCCTAAAGTGTACAACTGACAGTTTTTAACATTTACTCAAGTAAAACATTTAGGTACTTGTTGAACTTTACATGTCAGACGCTTTTCTCCAAAGCGACTTACATACTCAATACTGTGGACAATCCCCACAGGAGCAATTTGGGGTGAAGTGTCTCAAGGACACAACGACATGCTGACTGCAGTGGGGTTTGAACCTGTGACCCCCTGATCCCAACACCAACTCACAACCCACTGCACCACACGCCTTTTCATTTCATACTACTTTATACTTTTTCTCTGCTACAATTTGTTGGCAAATGTTATACTTTTTCTCTCCTAGTCACTTTGCAGATTGATGTTATTGATACAAAAATATAAATCAACTAATACATTATCATATATTATTAAAGCCACCCAGTAGTAACTAAAGTCATTCAAATACAATTGTATTGAAATGCGATGAACACATTAATGCATCAATAAGTATAATACAACAATTACAAATATATGCTGCTTCAACGGGCCATTCTGCATAATGAGAACTTTTACTTTTGGTACTTTTACTTTTTACTTGAGTACAATTTTGAATGCAGTTCTTTTACTTGCATGTTTACACTGTAGTATTGCGACTTTTACTTAAAGGAATAACCTGAATACTTCTTCCACCTCTGTCTATATCAGACACAGAAGGGCTATGACCAAGCGTCTGTGTTTGAGGAGTTTGGCGTAATGCTCTGTCTGTGTATGTGTGTGTTGCAGACTGATGAAGGCCAGGGCCTTTAACGTTGCTCTGGAGCAGAAGCTGAGAGTTGTAACTCAGAGCGCCCTCGGTGAGGAGGACAGAGCTGCACAGATGGACCTCCTCCTCAAAGATGAAGAACACACAATCAAGGTAAGACAATCCCCAACCAAACTGTTGATTTGCTACGCTGGCAAAGAGAACTGTCGTAGGGGAGTGAGAGTGGGGTAAGATATCCCACCCCCTTTATCTAGGGAACTGTTGTCATGCAGCCATACATTCAGGAAGCACTCATCCTTTCTATTAAGCTGTGTCGGAGAGAAGCACATTGTAAAGTGGTTGATGTGTTTTTTTTCACAATAAACCAATGTTCAACATGTCAGGTATAATTACTGTTATGTCAAAGCAAATTGATCCAGGTCTGAACATATGTATCATACATGTAGGTTATTTAGCAAGGTGTAAAACCATGTGAATCCTTTAGCTAAAGATTAGCAGGAATAACTAAGCTAGACAGATTCCCCAAAAGCGGTGCTGTGGGGTAAAGTGAGCCAGTGGATCAACTGAACCCCCCATGAGGCACTGAAGTTAAGTTAGGTCTCTGTAGTATCAAATGCTATTTCAATGTAGTTTTACACAACTGATTTGTTTTTGATGTTTTTGACTAACCTATATAAATCATTAAAGTACATTAACAACAGACATGTGTTACCAGAGCATTTATAAGGATATCTATTCAGGGCTGTTTAGTTCATTCTCACACCAACGCAGGGAGTGGCAGTGAAAGGATGATATCTTTTTTAAATGATAGTCAGGTTTAAACTTGAAAAAGTTAATTGGTCAAATGACCGACAGATGGCTTAATTGACCCCATGATGCGAATCAACTTACCCCTTAGATGGTGCTAGTTAGCCAACAACACCACTTTGTTTTTGAAGTGTCATGTTTTGATGGCCCTTTGTAAGAAATGTATTATTTTCATTTTGATTGACAGAAGACATATTGAAATAAAAGTTGTTGTCATTTGACTTTTATCTCACTATTCCTTGAGGACAACATAAGTACAAATGGACTCACCTTACCCCGCTCTCCCCTACATGTTATTACTTTCCTCATTAATTTCACACTTATTTTTGCTGTTAGCGCAATGAAAATACCTTCTCTGTGTTGCCATTGACTTCAATCTGCACTGTTAATGATCTAAAACAGTGACAGGTAAAGAAAACATAACAACCTAATGAAGCTACAAGAACAAGTTGAATTTACATTGTGTCTCTCAATGGCCTCTCAATGTCCGGTTGATTGGGAGTTCTATTTTGTCGTGGCCCTCCTTTTATAGGATTTAACATGTCTACCATCAAATCTTCTTCACTTCAATTTTGAATGGTTGAGATTCTTTTCAAACAAGCCTTCAAAGTTTGTTGGTAAGAATTGACCATTGTTGCTATATCCTATCCAAATACACTCTCCTGAGCTTTGACAATCTCATTCTTTTCTCTTAGCATCCCACTGAGGTGCACTACATTTGCACAATCTGTTCTTTCTTTGAAGGCCATAAGACATTGGAGTATGCTTCCAGCTGAGCTTAAAACCTGCCTGGCTTCCCATGTTTTTACCATAGTGCATCATTTGAGACGTTAGTTTAAATGAATTTTATTTATTTTTGACAAATGTACTCGTATTCATATTTGATCTGTATTTTGATCTGGTATAATTGTTAGTGTGATAGGCACTAGGACATGTTTTCATGTTTGTTGTTTTGTGCTTACCTGCCATGGGAGTGCAGATGGAAATGAGCTTTTAGCTAAGATCTGGCATATACTGTAGCAGCTCTTCTCTTTTTGAGATGAATGTCTTTTTATGCAAGGTCCTTGTTCAATAATGACATCATAATAATTCAGTCAGACAACTCTTGTCTAGGCTCGGGCCTCATCACTCCACAGATTTACAGAGAACATTGAGTGATGATTAGATAACTATACCCTCCCCCCCG